CTACAAGGCATCGCCCCCAATCTCTAAGATCTAAAGATGTGCATTGTTTCTACAAATCCACAGACTCTTTACCAACTCTGACTTTAAAAAAGGAAAATCCAAACAGATGAGTTAAGCAAAGATCCCTGACTTTTCTGATCCATATAACTCCAAAGGATGACTGACTGAATTTTCCCCCATAACTGAGCATGGCAGCATTGTATCAACATGAAAATCTGAATTTTATCCAGATCAAGACCAAAACTGAGAGGCTAACAGCCTCCAACTCTACATTAGTTGCCAGTTTATACTGGTCAAATTAATCAAATAGTTCATCTGTGTACTAAGAGCTATGTGAGACCACATCAGCCACTCTTTAAATTAAATGACAGAAATGACCAAAAAAAAATAAAAAAATAAAAAAAATAAAAATAATTTAAGTACAGAGGTGTACCAAGCAAATGTGAAAGTTCCCTTTTGAATCTCCTTTCACTCCCTTCCTCAGAGGTCAAGAGTGGGGTGGCATCCTTGGAGTTCCCTTCTCCTACCTTTTCTTTCTATATATTAGCTTCATATTGTTATGTAAATGAGATATGCTTATATGTATTTTTTTACAACTTGCATTTTTTTCCATACAATAATATCATACTAATATCCATGTCAGTACCAAAAGTCTTTCTCACTATTCTATACAATATCCTAAAATGTAACTATGTCACAGTTTATTTAAACATTCTGATATTGATGCCCTATTTCCAAGTTTTTCCTTTAATGAACATCCATGCAAAGTCATGTTTATGCATGGATCTATTCCTAGAATTGAATGGTTCAGTCAACGGGTCAGTGCATTTTATTTTGTTCTAATTTTTAGCTTATTTAACTTTCTAATAGGTAAAATAATAACATGATTTATAAAGCATAGAAAGGTATAAAGAGAAAGGGATTCCACCTACCATGCCCCCAACTCCCACCTCTCAGCAGGTTCCCTTGTGGTCTTTCTTATGGACCCTTTCAGAGGTTTTTCCTTTTCACATTTCAGAGGTTTTATTCTTTTCAAATGCTTATACAATCACAAATGGATGTGCATTCCCTTTTCTTTAGAAAAGGGACAGACCACACTACATACATTGTTCTGCAACTAATGTTTTGCATTTAACACTATAACTTGGAGATCTTTCCCCATCAACATGTAGAGAACATTTTCATCCTTTTTCATAAAATTGCACAATACCCCATTGTTCAGATGCATCATAATCTATTTAACTAGATTCCTACTAATGCTCATTTAGTTTGTTTTTAATTTCTTGCTGTTCTAAACAAGGCTGTAATCAATAACTTTTGGTTTGTGCATTTTAGATTTTGATAAATTGACTCCTGATACATTCTCTCGACTCCCTCATCTTCTGGCAGTTATTTTCATCTTTAAATGGCCTGCAAACATCACCTCTGGAGGCTTCCTCCCCTACTGTCACTCACTCCCTTTGCTTTGCAACTCCTGCATCTGTTGCACTGGCTCCAGGGAATTGTAATTTGTTGATTGCCATATATATCTGTTTGTCTCACTGGACCATGAGTACCTCTAGGGGCGGGACTATGTCCTAGTCATCTCTGTATGGCCAAGCACAGGCTTGGCATATAGCAGGTACTTGGTAAATAACAGGTGAGAGGCAGGAGGGGATGTGGGCTGAAAGATAGTCATTCTGATGTGCCGTGGGTCACCTGCATGCTGTCCTGAGAGTACACATGTAAAAGAGGAAAGATTCATGACCCCAAATGCTTCTGCTTTCATTGGGCCATGTTGTGTGGTAGTGCCAGCTATGCCATGTGGCAGCCTGACTGGAAGCACTTCTTGAATCAGTCTAGGAAGGACGCCTATTCTTTGCTCTTCTGGTCCACACATGGGCTTCTCACATCATTACCCTCATTGCTGAAAACAGCAATGTAATTAAATCCAGGGAGAGAGACTTTTCAATGAGCTGGCCTTACCTCGATTTCTTGATAGGAGTTGTTGATCATGGCTATCAGCATATTGAGCAGCACTACCACCATAGTGACGTTATAAACGCCGTACAGAACGTAGCCGATGTTCTCGATGAATTTGTGGTCATATTTCAGCACCACCGAGATTACTTCAGATAAGCCAAATATGGACCAAAATAAGGTTTTAAAACTTTCTTCAACCCTACAAGGAAACAGACAGTGCTTTCACACAGTTTACATCAGCTCACACATTTGATGAAAGTTGTCATTGCCAAGCTTTAGTGGTTACTCTGGGGTGGGCTGGGGATGGTTGGTGGCGCCTACAGTCTGAAATAATGAGATATTCAGATTTCCAAGGAGACTTGGAAAGAATATTATAAATAGCTAGCTCTTTCTTTTTCATTCAATCCATTTATTGGGACTCCAGGCTGCAGTATTATTTTTATCTTGCTGTTATTAAACATTTAAAATTAAACACCCGGGCAAATATTTGTTCTTGTGTGTTATTAGCCTCAGAAATCATGCTCTTCCTGCAACAGACTTTTAAGCATCTCTTCTCAGACTACATGGCTCTGTGTGAACGGGAGCTATGGCAGTTACCTGGGGAAGCAGGTGGTGTCTACAGGTGGAGCTGGCATCCTTGGTGCCTGGCACATGCTGGCACTCAACACAGGGCAGCTCAGTTAAGCCTGATGACCACTCGTTGTGGGCTCACTTATTACCCCCACTTTACATACCTGGGGCCAGCCACACATGTTAAGTGCTCTAAACTGAGCCTGAATTATAAAAAATAAGAGTGGGGAGTCTGGTATGTCCATATTGTTCAAATTCACCAGGTAACTGCCCAAACCTCACCCTGCAGCTCACTCAAGTAGATGCTCCACGTGCTTTGAGGGCAGTTCAGGTAAGACCTGGCTTATAGGATACTGCTCTTTGACCCTTTTGAGACCACGAAGTTACTGAAATACAGTGGTGTAAGAATAAGGCCCAAGCCAGTTTCATAGTCCATACATTTATGATCATGACCCTATAACAGGATTATGACATAGAATCCAATCAGAAAGCTGGGTTTGGGTTCGATGGTTTAGAACATGCAGGTGTATCTGGTAACAGCCCAATAGTGAAGTGCAGTTCTTTAAGTCTGCATCCAGACTTTTGGTACCATTATAAGAAAGCACTTCTTTTTTTTCTCTTTAACATTTCAGGTTTTCAACACTCACCCACAAATGGCCAGGATTAACTAGATCTCAAAAATAAAAATAAAAATAAATCAGCATTTCTCAAGGATTGGAACTGTTTGACAAAATGTACAAAAATACTAGTACTCATCACTTGGGCTAAAAATCCAACTCTTGTGTGAATTTACAGCTCTCCTGAGTGAGTGCATGGGGGTGTACGTGTGTGTACGTGTGTGTGCGTGTGTGTGTGTGCGTGTGTGCGCGTGTGTGTGTGTGCGTGCATGTGTGTGTGTGTGTGTGTGTGTATCTAGCCAGCTGTTTGACACATTCCCTATGTATCCCAGAGTCTGAAAAACTGATTATTTGAAGTGGGTTTGTGTTGTCATTGTTTGGTTCTGGTTTCTGTAAAACTGTGAGTTTTGTACATCTAATTAATTTCAGTGTTAGCGAGAAGGAATTTAGTTGGGGGTTTGGAAGTAACGACTGGGTATCAAGCCATTTTTGTACAGGTCCAGCTCCCAAGGCCATTTTGAGAAGGAAAAACTGCTTCCTCATGCGAGATGCAGCATTTTGTGCAAAAAAGATGCCATTCACTGTGTGGCATGATTCACTGGGGCATTGTCTCCTATTATGAAACAATTTCTCAGTCATCACCCTGGTGGAAGGGAACAGTGGCAGAGAGAATCCAAAACCGTTAGATGAGCCCCAAATCCTAAAATAGAAGGAGACAGCAGGACATGATCTCTCTGACAGTTCCCTTCCTGTAGGATCGGGTGAAAACTGGAGGCCACACTGTTTGAAGGAGGGGCTGGGCAGTCAAGTGCTGGTGCAGGGTTATGCACTTGCCACGAACAACCTAAGAAATGGGTAATACTTGCAACTGAGAGATATTTTACCCAAATTCCACTTCCCTTTCTTACCTTGGAACACCCTGCAAACCTTTGGCTGACACAAATGAAGTAAGCAATTATAGAACACATCCAGGGAAAACCTTCTGAATTTTGATTAGGGAAAATGGGCTAAGATTCAACATGTATTTTTTACTCATTTGCTTCTTGCCATGAATTTTGCTGCTGAGCCCTGGTTTATCCTCAGTGCCTTCAGTTAGGCATTCTCTGTCAATAATCTGAAGGAGGTAGAGCTGGCCCATTAAGCAGTATGTGTTCCAGTAAAAGAACATTTATAAATCTGTAACCCTCTGCCTCTACTCAACCCCCCAGCTGAGGATAATTAACCTGGCTTGGAATGATGACCTGTTTGATTTGTTGTCTGTCTTCCAGACAAACTTCATTACCGTACATCTGTTTCATTTCTGTTCTATAGTTTAAGGATTAACCTCTGGACTTGAATTTGGTCATGATCTCCAGGAAACTCTAGTTACAAGAGGCCCAGACTCCCTGGGATTGCCAGAGTGAAAGTCACTCCCTCCAGAGCAATAACTGGCTGCACCTGACTGGTCAGGAAGGGGTCTTAGTCAGACTATGTATTTCTAACAATTTCTTCTAAACTCTTAAGACAGTGTCCATGGCCCTCACTTCCCCCTTTTTTTCTACTATGATGTCTGTCATTTTTATATTGATTTATAAGAGCTCTTTACGTAAGAAGGATGCCAACCATTGTATGTCTTACGTACTGCAAATACAAATTCTTTCCTCGCTTAGTCTTTTGCCTTATATTTTTACTTTTTATGGTTTTGATGTTCACAAGTGAAGTTTTATGTGGTCAAATCTTTCAATCTTTGTAGTTTCTGAAACTTCCTCCAGCCCAAGATTATATAATAAATACTAAACAAAATTTTGTTCCAGTATTTTGATCATGTAATTTTTTAACATTTAACTTTTTGATCCTATTCAGAATTTAGTTATACAGTTAACTATGAGCTATGGATAAAATATTGTATTGTTACAATTTAGCCCAGCTAATTGGGCATAACTCAGTACCTACAGTCCCATCTAACAAACAACAACAACAAAATCAGTCTATTCAGTTAGTCCACTGAATGTTCATGTAAAGAGGGAGGGTACAAACGAAAGACCCAACAGACCCAAATGGTGAATCTACCCTACAATAATATAATCTCAGAGAGAAGGCTGGTCTTGGAAAGGAGCTAAGGGCTCAGTCACTGGAACTGGCCCTAATGTCCTGTAAGGTTATGATGCTCTCCAAGTCATGTATTAACTATCATCCACAATATTCTGGAGCTATGGAACCCATGGCATGGGGTAGAAGGCCAGTCACTGGGAATGTCTGGGGCTGGCTTTCAGAGAGAAAGTATCTTGGAATTGGCTTCACTGATATTTACCATGAAGCCACTTGTCTCACAAAAAGCTGTTTGAGGTTCTTCACTGGTAGGGATGGCAGCCACTAGTTCCACATCCTCCTCCCACCCACACTGGCTAGCTGTAGAGTTTGCCACAAATTTCTTCAACTGCGTCCAGCAAGGAAGGCTTCACAGAAAATCAGAGGAGTGGGAAGAGCACGGGTGCATGCCTGGGTTCAAATTTTAGCAACACCATGTACTGGCTGTGCAAGCTTGTGCATGTGACAAAGCCTGTTTGAGTCCCGGTCTACCCATCTATAAAATGGGCATACTGGTGCCTTGTTTTTCAGTTACTATGAAGATTAAATGAATAACCCATGTAAAATATATAGTAAGAGCCCACTAAGTGGTAGCTATTAGTTTGATTCATTTATTTATTTATTGAACTCTGACTATGTCCCAGGTGCTGTGTCAGGTGATGAGGCTACACTGGTGTCCGGAGCAAACGTGCTTCTGTCCTTTTGGAGTTCCCAGTCTAAAAGTATGTGCAGTAAGATAAGAGAATGCTACAAGGAAGGATGCTCTGTTTGTCTCTACCTTACCCAGGAGCACAAATAGCCCCATCCATCCCTCAGGTGCTTCCACGCAGGGCTGAATGGAGTTCACATTTCAGCTGCCTACTGACTTTTCTGAACAAGCCTCATTTTCCTTTCCATCTGCAAAGATCATTACAAACCCTTGATTTCATGCAAATCCTCTTTCTGATTTTTTCCAGCCCATGCTGTCTTTTTATATTTGACTCTCGGCTCTCAGTGGAAAGGACTGAAGTTTAGTCAATAGGCCACCCTAGCATAAGAAGTGCTTATAATGAAGTAAAAGAGGAAAAGTGCCTGTGAGTGATATTGAATTGGCCGTGATTCACCCTCCTCTTCCTGGGCGGGGGGGGGGGGGG